GGCCCTGACCAGCCACAGTGCTGCCCATGGACCCCCAGGCCAGACCTGCTCAGCCCTGCACCCAGAACTTTCCTCACATCCTCAGCTCGGGAGATGGGCAAGCAGGCCTCCTGTTTCGACCTCAGAGGGGACAGCGAGAAAGAAGGACCGAGCTGGGCTCGGAGCTGCCGGCACCAGCCCACATCTGGCCAGATGGGCCTCTGGAGCGGTTCTGCCCACACCCTCCTCTCCTGATGAGGAAACTGAGGCTGGGTGTGGGTCTCAGTCAGGGAGAGCAAGGGGGTGTCCAGTCCATCCTCCAGGCCAGCACTGCCCCCCCCACCCACCCAGGTTGTCCCACAGCTGGCCGGAGGCTGCCCACAGAGGAGAAGCAATTCTGTGTGCAAAAGGAGTGACCTTTTTGCTTCCAGAATCCCTGAAACCCAGGACAAGAAACCCTACTGGGGATGTGCCTGCAGCCAAGGTACATGCCCTTGACCGGAATTGAACCTGGGACCCTTCAGTCCACAGGCTGACGCTCTATGCACTGAGCCAAACCGGTTAGGGCACCTGCAGCCACGGGAGGCAGCACCTCCTCCCGCTAAGGCTGTGGGAGGGCTCGTATGTCCCTTTCTTCTCCCCTGTGCCTCTCGGCCCGAGAACCCTCCAGGCCAGCAGTTCTCAACCTGTGGGTCACGACCCCTTTGGGGGTCGAACGACCCTTTCACAGGGGTCACCTAAGACCATTGGAAAACACATATATAATTACATATTGTTTCTGTGATTAATCACTATGCTTTAATTATGTTCAAGTTGTAACAATGAAAATACATCCTGCATATCAGATATTTACATTATGATTCATAACAGTAGCAAAATTACAGTTATGAAGTAGCCACGAAAATAATTTTATGGTTAGGGGTCACCACAACATGAGGGACTGTATTAAAGGGTTGCAGCATTAGGAAGGTTAAGAACCACTGCTCCAGGCGGTGCCAAAGTCTATCCCACATACCTCAGAGCCCATTGGGCAGGGAGGGCTCCCCGCTCATCGGTCATCAGTGTAGGAAGAGAGACAGAGAGATGCAGAGACAGGGAGACTCATAGAGGGAGAGACAGACACTCAGACACAGGGAGACACACACACAGGGAGAGACAGAGAGGGATCTCTTAGCATTTCAGCGGAGGAACTGAACCCAGCCTCCCGGGGCTCTGGACTCCCTGCGGCACCTTTGATGTCCCCACCCCCGGCCCCTGGGGGAGACCGACACGTGCGAGGTCGGTCCCTAACCTCAGATGGCTTTGGTCTGGCTGAGGCCACGTACAGACACGCAGAGCAATGCACACACACTAGCGCCCACCTGTGGCCATGCCCAGCCCCCGAGAGCAGGGGTGGAGAGGAGAGCAGCTGGGGCCCATGACCTAGCAATTCCCCCCCCCACACACGTGCCCAGAAGAAGTGAAAGCAGGTGCTCACACCAAAGCTTATTTCCACACGTTCACAGCAGCGTTACTCACAACAGTCAAAAGCGGGGAGCAGCCCACTGTCCATCAGAGGATGAGGGGATCAACACGCTGTGGTCCCCCCCATACAATGAATGTTACTCAGCCATCTCACGTGGAGGAGCCTCCCAAATGCTGTGCTCCGTGAAGAAGCCAGACCCGGGAGACCACACATACGGTAAGGTTCTGTGTGCGTGACATGCCCAGAACAGGCAGATCCATAGAGATGGAAGGCAGGATACTGGCTGCTGGGGCCGGGGAGGGGAACGGGGCCGGAGGCTAATGGGGCGGTTTTCTTGGGGAGAGTGATGACGTTTTGGAACGAGACAGGGCTGGTGCACCGTTCACTTTAAAATGGCCCACCTTCTGTTGGGCGCATTTCACCTGAATGGAAAAGAAGCAGCCACCAGAAACCAGAGTCAGGACACAGACGGAAAAGAAGTATAAACTGTAAACGTTCTTTCACAGGCTCTTCCCCGCTGTTTCAGGGTGTGTGTGTGGGGGGGGCAGGTCCCCGAGAACAGGGACGCGAGTCGGAGTGCCCCGTGGTGACCAGGACTTGTTTGCAGGGAACCCAAGGAGCTCGTGTGGCCCGTCCCAGCTGGGCAGGTGCCCAGGTCCCTTCAGCCCCATCCGGCTCTTTCTCCCTCGAGAATGACCCCTGGTGACAGAGGCCGCCTCGAGGCTGTAAGTGCCCTTCCCCTCTCCTTGGTGTGTCCTCCTGACCCTCCGAAAAGGCCCAGCCAGCCGCTTCCTGCTCAGGTTAATAATTTTCGGCCGGACATACCCACAGACTTAGACTCGAACCTGCAGATCCGCTCATGGTGCCTGCTGACCGGGCTGGCGCTCAAATGCTCCACTTCAGCAGGCAGGCCGGACTCGAGTCTGCCTCTGCCCGTTCTCCATATACACGGCGCATCTCCTATCCCTCCCCCTCGCTCCCGACTGGTGGGTCTTTCTTCCTAGTGAACAAGCTGATCCGAGAGGGACAGGGGAGGAGGGGCCCCGGAGCTGGCACTTGTAGGATGCGGGGCGATGGGTGGGGCACAGGTGGCAGCGTTTTCCCAGGTGCGTGTCCTTTCCGTGGCATCGCTCATCCCGCTTCAGAAAAACCTTTTCTCCTATCACGTGATTGGTAGGTCAAAGCGTCCGCAAACTGGGATGGTATTTCAGACAGACAGACAGGCAGGCAGATAGACGTCATGCTGGAGGAGGCCATGGGGAGGAGGAGGCGGAAAGGAAAGTAGAGAGCGGGGAAGAGAACGCGGGGAGGAAAGAGTTCTGCCTTGTCTGGCTGGGCCCGTGACGAAGACAGAAAGATGCCCAAGTGGCCGCAGCTGCTTACGGCTTGTTATTCGTAAGACACAGCCAGCGAGGAGTGCCCGCAGAAGACGAGACGAGTGGGTGTCTCTGTCCATGAACAAAGCATGCAGGTGTTGACACAGCGTCACAATCAGGTGCCACACGCTCACGTGGACGGGGAGAAGGAGGACGGGGCGGGGGTGGGGGCGTGGCCAGCAGGACAGCAGGCGGCCCCTTCTGAGGGGCCACCCCAGCTCACGTCATCCACTGTTTGCCACGTGGGCATTTGGTCCGGTGTGGGTCAATTTTGACCTTTTTGAGGGACACCAGAAATGTGGACCTTTCTGTGAAATCTCCGGATGTTTGAGTGTTGGCCAACGATTAGAATTAATAATCAAACGTAGGCCAACCACAACCTGTCTCCGGGCGGCACTTACAGCTTGGGCAGCCTCGCATCCTGGATCTGGTCTGTGAACTCAGATGGTAATTATGGTCCCGGTGCAGTTTCCCCCACTTAACGTGGCATGAATACTTTCCATGTTTATGTAATCCTCTAAAGGCTGTTTGCAGTGGTTACATAACGTTTGGACGTGTCGTGATTTGCTTTACCCTCCCGTCCTGTTAGAAACCAAGGTTTCGGGGTGGAGTCTTAGACCCATTCCCGCCAAACCTTACGGTATTACTTCATCGCCTTCAGGTGGGCAGTGCAGGGGCGGGGCCACAGAGAACCGTCAGGTGTACCTGGCCTGCCCCCTCCCGAGAGCCCCAGAGGCCTTTTCGGGGCAGGAAGAGACGTTAGGGATCATCCATTTCCATCCTTTTGTTTTTCAGGTGAAGGAACTCAGGCCTTGTCCTAAGTCCAAGGGCAAGTGTATAATCATCTCTTTATGGTAAAAGTGACCAAACTTCACTACATTAAAGCAGAGTTATAGCATAATTTTCCTTTGTATTGGAACTGCGCTAAATCTAGATATAACTTGGGGGAGAATCAATACCTTTATAATAGTGAGTCTTTGATCCTACATATAGGTGCGTTTTTGTCAGATTCACTTCTAGGCTATATCATTAAAAAAAATTTTTTTTAAATCAATAGACATACAGATTCACTTCTAGGCTATATCATTAAAAAAAATTTTAAATCAATAGACATGGGCTATATCATTTTTGTTTCTTTGTTTCTGTTGCTATTGCAAGTGTCATCTTTTAAAAACGTGTGTTTTCTAACTCACTGTTGCTGCTTTCTAGAAATGCAGGTGACCTTTGTATATTGATTTTGTATCCACTCATCTAATTTAACTCTCTTATTAATGCTTGTCCCACAGGTTATTTTGGGATTTCTATGCCAACAATATTTTCATCTACAGCTAATAAGAATTTTTTCTCTACCTTTTCTCCTTGATATTTTTTCATGTCTTATTGCGTGGGATTAGGACCTTAGGATGGATGTTATATAGAAGTTTTCAATATTAGATTTTAAAAGGAATTCTATCAGCATCTTTCTATTAAGTATTAGTATTATTGTAGGTATTTTTAATAGATGTTCTTTATCAGATTAAAGAAGTTCCCTTTTATTCCTATTTTGCTAAGATTCTGAAACCATGATTGGACACTGAGTATTATTAAATTTTGTTGTTGTTGTTGCATTTATTAAAACAATCATTTGGGTTTTCTCTTTTAATCTGTTAACTGTGGTAAATTAACAGTAATAGATTTTCTAAACCATGTATTCCTGAGATAAACCCAACTTGGATATGACTTATCATTAAATAGGACTCTAAATTTCTTTATAAGTATTGCATACACTGTTAATGCATCCTTTCATATTTTCATATCCTTTCTCTGGACTGCTTTCTAAACAGTTTCTTCATTAAGTTTTCTTTCAGCTGTGTCAAGCTCCCTTTATGGTCAAGCTCCCTGTGTCCTCGATTTATTCTCCTTTGCTGTCATTTTGTCATCTATGGGATATCCTATAAATCAGTGGTCGCCAACCTTTTGGACCTCACGGACCACCGGTTGGCGACCACTGCTAAATGACACCATATAGTATGTAATATTTTAGACTAGTATATATATATTTTTACTCACCATGGTATCTCTGAGTCATTTAAACTGTGGCAAGCTTTTTTTTATTGCTAACTAGTGTTTCATCTGATGCACCCAGCTTGTTCATCCATTGAACGACCGAAGGACATTTCCCTGGGACCTCCCCGCCGAGGGCTCTCTGGAGGAGAGGCTAACATTCCACAGGGTGAGCTTTTCTTTTGTTGAGGAGACATTCACATAACATACAGCTAGGCATTTTAAAGGAACCATTAAACAGCCTTTTGTACATCCACAGCACTGTGTGCCCATCACATCTGTCTAAGTGCATCACCCTGGAAGAAAGCCCACACCCCTGAGCAGTGTCTCCCCATCCTCTCCCACCCCCACCATGGGGTGGACTGTAGGAAACAAGAGGCGGGGCCACGGTGCATGCGGGTCCTGCTCAGACACCTGCGGTGTTTCTTTCCTGGGCGCCTGGCCTTGCTCCACACCCCCTTTTCCTCACTCCCACCACCCAAGGCTCGCACCTCCCTCAGAAGGGATCAGTATGAAGTCCCCCCCGCCGTCTCCCCCCCCCCACCCCGGGCTCTGTGTTTAAGAGCAGGCTTCTCAAACTGTCCTGTGAGGGGAGCTCTCGGGGCCATGTGTTGGTGGAGGCAAAGGGTGGAGTGATGCTGCCGCAAGCCAAGGAGTGCTGAGGACGGCCAGCCACCACCAGAAGATGAAGCGGCACAGAAGGACCCTTCACCTCAGAGCCTTCAGGGGCAGCGCGCGTCTGCCAGCACCTTGAGTTTGGACCGCTGGCTTCCAGAACTGTGAGAAAATACTCCCCTGTTGTTTTAAATCACCCAGTTTGTGGTATTTTGTTACAGCAAGCATGGAAAACTAATATCCTTCATCACACATATTGGCTGGATGGTAGATGAATGGATGGATGGATGGAGGAAAGGATATGTGTGGGGATGAGTGAGTAGAAGGGTGGATGGATGGATGGATGGATGGATGGATGATGGGTGTGTGGATGGATGGACGGATGTGTGGATAGATGGGTGGATGATGGAGGGATGGATAGATGGATGGATGATGGATGGATGGATGATGGGTGTGTGGATGGATGGACGGATGTGTGGATAGATGGGTGGATGATGGAGGGATGGATAGATGGATGGATGATGGATGGATGGATAGATGGATGGATGGATAATGGATGGATGGATAATGGATGGATAGATGGATGGATAGATGGATGGATGATGGATGGATGATGGATGGATGATGGGTGTGTGGATGGATGAATAGATGGATGTGTGGATGGATGGACTGATGTGGATGAGTGGTGGACAGAGAGGTGGGGGAGTGGGGGAGTGGACGGTACTTACAGAGGTTTGTAAGTATCTGTTGGGTTGGTCCCCACTGTGAGTTGCTCAAGCACAGGCTGGGACTTTTGCCCGGGTGTTTCTGGCAGCCCGTAGGCTGTGCTATATCTGTTCAGAAGATGCCAGTGGGAATGTGGGGGTACAGGCTGGTGACCAGGGGCTCACAAAGACCTACCTTACAAACGTGGCAGACAACACACCCTGAGCCCAGAGGCGTGGTGGGAAAGGAGTTGGGAAACCGTTACGACCATTCCTGGCCACCTGCACACAGCGAGAGGAGCAGAGGCTCCTGGGAGGGAGATTTTGAGCAAAGATGCAGGCACGGCGCCTGCCCGGCCTGGGCCAAGGGGGGCAGAGGCTGCCTTTGCCCCAGAAATGGGACCAGGGCGGCTCTCAATCTCCGTGGCAGAGGCCGGCAGGGAATTTCCTGGAAACCTCGGTGATGTTTGGGGCCGTGCCCTCCAGGCCTTCTTGGAAGCCTCCTGACTGTGAGGAGCGGCCGCAGGCACACAGTGATGGCACTGTTGCTGGCCAAGTTTTGCTTTTCGTTTTTTGTTTGTTTCTTTTTTGCTGTTGTTGTTGTTAATCAAAATCAAAAGTCTTCTTTCTCATCTCGAAAGCAATTGAATTATCTGAAATATTTCTTTAAAATCCCTCAGGAATCAGCCCCCCCGTAGATGTTGCTGAAGTTCTGGAAGTGGGCGGAGGCCGTGCGGGGTGAGCGGGCTTCCTCGCTGGGCAGACACAGGCGGGAAAAGACTGAGCCAGAGGGTCCGTGGGCTCCGGGTGCGTGGCCTGAAGTCTTCGATGGCGACCACTGGCCTTTGGGGAAGGAGGGGCCACGCCCAGGGCTGGAGTTAGCCAAACAGCTTTTCAAATGTTTCGGGTTCAGCAAAAACCCACATCTATTTGCCAAGTTGTTTTTCCTTTAATTCTTAAACCTGGGCACATTCCCAGGGAAATCTCACCCTCACGCTTCTGACGCATCGATTCTTCATTCACCAGCGCACCCTATCCGCTCCGCGGGTGCCCGCCGCCTCCGGGATCCCGCCAAGGCTTCCCCGACGCCATCCCGCTCGCCCTTGTAAACAGGAAGCTGAATTTTGCCAACATCGGATGAACTTGAACTCCAGAAGGACTGCACTCAGCTTGAAATTCAGGACCTGGGACTTCAAGAGGGTTCTCGGGGGGCCAGACACCCTCTTCCACGGGGTGAGCAGCCCCAACCCGGTGCAGCCTGGGACCCAGCAGCCGGGACCTCGGTGGGTGCACAGACCCCTTAGGAGAACCTCACAGAGTGGAGCCCCCTGTGACCGGCTCGTTCACTCAGCATAATGCCCTCAAGGCTCACCCACGTTGTAGTCAGAGTCATTTTTCAAAGAAACTCTACAAAGTGTCCCGATATCCTAGTCACGAAGGGAACTGGAGGCCCGGAGCCCTCTCCTCCAGGGAGTCCCTGGGGCACCTTTGCAGAACCCCAGGACTCCAGGAAGTTGCAAGTGATACCCTCGGATTAGTGACCGGGCCAGGGAGCAGCTGGGAACCTGGGGGGCAGGGACGGAGGCGGGGTGCAGGCCAGGCGGTCGGGGCCAGGAGGACAATGCAGGCGGGCAGCCGCCGCCGAGCACTCCCGGGTAACCCAAGCGCTCTGATAAGCCTCCGCCGTGCGGGCTGGTGGCTGATAACAGAGTGGCCGGTCCCTCGGGTCAGGACACCGACAACTTGCGTTTGGACAGGAGGCCGGGAACGGCCCGTGGGAGTGCGACTCAGTCCCTGGAAGGCTCATCAAAGAGGAGCTTTGTTCACGCTCCGGGGAGGGGCGTGCAGGAAGGGCTCTGGGTCTTAGTCCTGTTCCGTCTGGGGTGCAGGTGCAACCTGAGTGCCCAGGTGTGGCCCAGAGACAAGCGATGGAGGGGTCCCCTCCCGGGGTGCATCCAGGAGGCTCGGTAGGCCCACCAGACTCCTGCACCGCCTTTGGCCTCGGATGCTGACCGAGCCCCTGGCCATCTCTGAGCTGCGGGCGGAGGGCAGGGCGTGGGGCAGGCAGCAGGCTGGCCCCAGCTCTTCCTGCTGTCCTGGCTCCCGGTCCTGCTGGGAACAGAGCAGGGCTGGGTGGGGGGGGGGATCTGACCAACCAGGGGGCTGTGGTCTGCAGAGTTCAACACCAGCTGCAGTGACCACCGGGGACCAGGTTTTAGTGGGTTTTTAAAAATTAATAGATTTTTTTTTACAGCGGTTTTAGGTTTACAGAAAAACTGAGTAGAAAGTTCAGAGACTTCCCGTATGCCCCCACCCCTTTACCCCAACACAGCTTCCCCCATTATTCTGTCATGAATAGCATGCACTGGTGTGGCACATGTGTCTAAACTCACACCAGGACTGATACGTCATGCAACTGAAGTCCACATTGACGTGAGGGCCGCTCTTGGTGCCGTGTGTTCCACGGGTTTGGACAAAAGTATAATGACAGGTACCCCCATCGTAGCATCAGGCAGAGCAGTGTCGCTGCCCTGAAGGTCCTCTGTGCTCTGCCTAGTCACCCCCCTCCCCAAACCTACCAGCCGCCGAGCCTTCTGCTGTCCCCAGAGTTTGGCCCTTTCCAGACGCCATCTGATGGGCATCGGACTCTGGGCAGCCTTTTCTGACCGGCTGCTTTCACGTCGGACAGGCCTCCTCCATGTCTGTCCTGGCGCGATAGCTCGTTTCTTGTTGGTGCTGAAGAAGATTCCTTTCCCGGGATGTCCCCCCGTTCATTTATCCTCCAACCCCGGAGGCCGTCCTGGTTGCTTCCGAGCTGTGGTGACGATGCATCAGCTGTTATGCACACCCACGTGCGGGTTTTGTGTGGACGAGGGCTCAGCTCCTCTGGGCAAACACCCGGGAGTGTGACTGCTGGAGGGCATGGCAAGACCATGTTTAGTTTTGTGAGAAAGTGCTTCTTTTGATCTAAAAAATGAACGACATTTTAAAATGGAGAATAAAGGGACTTGCCCTTGGTCCCACTGGGGTGAGGCTCACCACACCCTTCATAGTTGGAACGTGGGGCAGGGGGGCTCTGGGTGCTCCCCGAGGCCTCCCGGTGCTCCTGGAGGGACCACAGCGCCTCACCGCACCCCTGCCCCGCTCTGCCTCCGGGTGGTCAGGACCAGCCCCAGCCTCTCCCCTGCCGGGTCATCCCCGTGAGAAGGTGAGGGCCTGGGACGTCCCTCCTGCCCTGGATGCTCACGCTGGCCCACTCCTCTCCATCGCCCCGTGCTCCGCCTCGCCACACCTTCCCGCGGGGCTTGGCCCACTGGCTGTGTTTTCTGCGCTGGGGTCATCCACAGATCCCAGGCGCCTCATTCCCGGGAGACTTTCAGCCCTGGGCTCACTGTCTCTTCCTCCCCAGTTACTTTATATCCCCGTGGGTGGGCCTGGCCTGCCCGGCTGGTCACCTCCTCTCCCGGCTCATCTGTCTGGCCTCCGCCTCCATCTCCATCACCATTTTGAATACCAGCGGGTTTCTCCCCTTTAGCTCCCCCTTGCCCAACCCCACCCTCTGTCCCGCTCCTCCCCCATAGGGTCCCTGCCCCTCGCCCCTCACCCCTCACCTCTGTACTGGGTCTGGGATCTGCCATTGTCATTGCTTCTCAGTAGATCCCCTGGGGGCCTTCAGATCCCCATCTCTGCTGGGCTGCGTCAGGCATGAGCGAGGCTGGAGAAATAGGACCAGGCTCACCGTCTCCCCTAGAAATCGGGACCACGGACCTGCCGTCGGGCGTCTGTGCTGCCCGGCCAGCTGACCTCATTGTCCCGGTGACCTCGCTGCCCTCCCCAGCCCTCCCCCCCTCCTCAGGGTGACCATTCCTACGCCACGACCAGAAGCCACCAGAAGAACAGCACCCACGCACCTGGGGGAGACGCCTGCCGAGTCCACGGTCCTGGTGAAGACTCAGTGAGAGGGAGCAAAGCTGGGGCCGCACCTAGTGGGCGCTCAGGAGGGTGGCTGGGAGTTTTGTTCTCGCCGCCTCCTCCTCGGAGCCTCCAGTTCACAGCCGGCACTGGAATGCAGGCCCCGCCAGCCCCCGGGAGGGAGGAGGGCCAGCACCCCTGGAAGAGACCCAGGCTTTATTTATCTATTTATCTGTTTACCCAGCCGCACGTCTATTTATTTTCAAGTCTACCATCATCTCATTAGGGAGGCACCAAGAAGGAAAAAAAGTGAAATTGATACGGGGTCCCTTTCAAGTGGGGAGCCAGCTGCCTGCGGCCTCGGGAGAGAGGCGGCCTTCTGATCTCCTTCCAGCGAGGGAGCGGGTGCCCGGGGGTTCTGCGGAGGGTTTCCTAAGATCCCGCTCCACACCAGGCCGCCACCTCCGTCCTCCACCACATCAGGGAGGCTGCGCGCGGCTTCACCGTCGCAAGGACGCGCTGCACTGGGAAACGTGCGTGTTTTGCAAGGTTATCAATTTAGCAGCTGGTTCAGTGGGCGAGGCCGGGCAGGCCAGCGGCTGGGTTTCTGTTCAGGAATGCCACGTGGCCTGGGGCCCAGAGGCCCCGGTTCGAACCCTGGATTTTATCATCATGACCTGCGTGACCTTGGGCACATGCCCATCTCTACAGACCATGTGGCAGACCCAGAAGGAAAAGGGTTTCCAAGATCAAATCTTGGGGCGCTGGGCAGAGAGGGCTCGTCACATGCTACCAGACCCCGGTCTTTGGGTGGGATTGACAGGAAGTGCATGTCGGGGATCTCTGTCATTCAGGCTGCTCGCCGCAGGAGGAGCCGGCTGAGTCTGGTGGCGGGTGGGCCTTGAGTGCCGTTGAACCAGGCCCTGGCGCCGCTCTGCAGCACTTCTCTTGCTCTGCCTGCCTCTTCGTGGTGGGGCTGCCAGCAGGATGGGTTGCCTCGTAGCAACAAAGTGGCTGCAGGAGTTCCAGGCTTTGCCTCTGTGTCCCTCATTGGTCTGTCTTAGTGAACGGAAGTCCTGAGCCTTGCTTCATCGATATCCATGAGGGTGAGTGTGGTGTCCAGAGAGGCAGGACCCAGGAGGGAGGGGGATGCATCCACCTCCTTGCCCCCAACATTGCCGTGGTGGGGGCGGGGGGCTGGCAAAGGGACTGGCAGTCCCCGTTACAATGCGGACCAGGCGACCAGGGATCACCAGGCATTTGCATAACAGGAACACCAGGCCCGGCCAACAGAAAAACTAGCACCTGTTGAAATAAAGTTAACAGAGCAAACAGAGGCGGACTTAAAATACCTACACATATAAATACCACGACCCTCAGGTGATGCAGGAGAACATCAAGGAGGAGTCAGAGATCTTGGAAGTCATCATCTGATTGTCGAAAAGGCTGTCACCTCAGCGCCCACAGCCTGGGCAAGCTGCCCCCGAGGTCGGCTATCCAGCCGCGGGGCTGGCTGGGTGTGGGCGCCCTGGTCTCTTTGGCTGGCTCCCAGACAGCCGAGCGTGAGGCGTCTAGTGAATGAGTCTCCAGCCACGAGGTGCAGCCACAAAGATATGTGCCCCCCACAGGCCGGCCCAGCTGGAGCCAGGAGTTCCGTGTCCTTTGCTGGGTGGCCCCGAGGGCAGGGCCCCTGCGTCCTTCCTGGGAGACGGGGGCTCCCGCAAGGACTCTGACTGGTGCCCGGCCTGTGTGCTCACTAGCACCCTGGTGTGGCTTTGCTCTAACGCCCGTGGCCGTGGCTTTGGTTGGACGGGCGAAAGTGCGGGTCTTTAACCCACACGGTGGTGCAGTGCAGCTTAGCCAGGATGGAGGGCAGACGCTGGCTCTGAGCCCTGGACCCTCTCCTGCCCCACTTTGCCCTGTTGGCCCGGGAGACACTTCTTAGACAGAGACCCTTCGGGACCCTGAGCGTCTGCCTCGCCTTAGCCTTACCTGATGCTGTGGCCGCATCTCTCCAGTCTCTGCCTCCGTGGTCACATGGCCCCTTTCCCTGTGCGTCTCCTCTGTGTCTGTCCAAAACTCCCTCTCCTCTGACGGGCTCAGGCCCGCTCTCTGCAGCATGACCTCCCCTCACCTCGATGCACCCCCATCTGCTGTATCGTTACGTCTGCAAAGGCCCTATTTCCTGAGGAGGTCACACTCACAGGTTCTGAGCGCCGGGACAGAACATCTTTTTGGGGACACAACATCTAAAACCAAGGGGTCCCTACACCTTCAGTCCCCACCTCTCTGCCCTGCTTTTCAGCCGAAACTCTGCCCATCCAGGCGCCGGTGATGAACTTGGGTGAATTCGATGCCT